CAAACCACTCCACGATTGGTAGCTTAAAGCAACTATCATTTATTTAGTGATGATTTTGTTAGCAGTTTGGACTAGGCTTAGCTGGGCTCACTCTTGCGTCTTTGGTTGGCTTCTGGTCTGTTAGGTGGCTTTGCTTTGGATGCTGTCTGGCTTTCTACTGGGGTGATGGAGCAACTATGCCCCATGTTTTTTTAAGCCTCTGTTTTCATCATATTTGCTACTCTATCGTTGACCAAAATAAGTTATATGCCTAATCTCAGTCATTGTGGGAGGCTATTATAAAAGTCATGGATACAGGGAAACATGGAAAAATTGGGGTCATTACTGCACTCAGTCACCACAAATTAAATATGAAAAACTGAAAGTGGCACTCATTTCATCATCTCTTTCTATTTAGTTGGCATGACTTCTTTAGCATAGCTCTTATTCTTGAAACAATCATTAGCTATAGATTCTAGGGTAGTATATGGAAAGTGATAAGCTGCTAGAAGGGCCAAAAAATTATATGTAGTGTAAGTCAATGAATTCCTGCTTGTCATAACACGTAATGCTTGTTGAGCATTTTATAGGTGTCAAGCATCAGCTTAATTGCTTCTCAAATCTGCCAAGTAAATAGTATCATTTTCTCTTTTCAGATGACAAAACTAAGAGAAATCTAGTAACTTGCCCAAGGTCCCAAAGCTAGTGACTAGAGAGCTTGGATGCCCTAGGCCTGATTCAAATACTCTTCTTTCTACTGTACCACACTGCAGCAGCTCCTTGAGGGATCCCACAGTCGTGGCTGACAGCCCAAGGCCAGTTGACAAAGAGCTTCTAACATGCAGGATAATGAGTAAAACTCTCAGTGTTCTCTTTCTAATGAAGGGGGTTGTGTGTACTTATTACCATTTGGCTAATGCCCCCTAAAGATTTTCTGGTATTGAATTCTAATTGTAAATTACAACAGCCATCTAATGATTCAAAAAGAAAGCCACCAAATTCTTGGAATAGTTCTAGTCTCTAATGAACATGGATAACTAATGTAGGGGTAGATGTTTTGTTCGGAATTGGGTATGTATTCCATGAGAGTAAAATGTAGACAGCCTAAGTTTCCTTATTAAAAGGAGAGATGGGGGAGATGTGACGAGATTATGTGACAGAGAGGAAAAAATACAGAAAGGGTGCTGTAGTGAAGGATGTGAAGGAATTCAACACTGTGTAGACATTTGTGAGTGTCCTTATCACTACACTTTTACATCAAAAAATTCTAAAATCTGCAGGTCCTCATTCCATGACCCACAGAGGCAAAAAGCAGTCCGGAAATGCAGATCTGGACAAATTCTAGACATTTTATGGTTTATTTTTGTATTCTGTGAATACATTAGAGATTTTAAAAATTGTTTCTTGATTTCTTTTTCCATCCCATTTTAATGCATTATTATATCTCTTGTTTCCCCCATACCTCTGAAAATGTATAGTCAGGACCATGGACAGATCCTTCATTGTCTTGGCCTTCCTTGGGTTTCTTCCAGCTGCCTTATTTCTCTTACTACTCTAGTGGGACACTAAAGGCCAGGTCTTTTGTGTTATCTCAGTTTTTTTATAGGAAAGAGGAGAAGATTGATCTCTTTTCGAAGAGAGAGGAGAGAAGAGGCTTCAGTGTGGAGTGAATGAGCTAAAAATCTCCTTTCTTCCTTTGAGGGCTCTCTTTATTAGAAGAGCCTCACCAGCTAACAGGAAGTAAAATCATCACTAATATTATGTTGAATAAATGATTGGCTGTTCTACTTTCAAACATCTAATATTTCATAACATATTTGTTCAATAAATACATTGTTATTGTTAATCTGTGTTCATGTTCTTTAACCTTTTGAAATCTTCATTTAGGTGCTGAAAAAGAAAAATAAATGCTTTTGTATTTACAATTTATTCAAAGCCCTCATGTTTTAAAAATATATATTTTCAACAGTAGGAGCTCCTCACTCAGTTAACCAAATATTAGATTATTAAAACCACAATAGAAAAGGAGATGGTTTTTCCATTGCCAGAATTCCTAAAATGAACATAATTTCTTCCTTTGTCTCTCTCTCTCCTCTGTCTTTCCCCAATCCATGTTCTGGTACCCGTGTTATTAGGACATATAAAAATACCACAGGCATTTATGATAAGTGTGTGTCAGTTCTGAGTGCTATATTTTAAGAAAGTTTTTGATGTGTTGATTTGGATATGGTAAGAGGAAGATGACTACAATGGGGAAGTGCCTAGAAACCATAATGTGTAACCGATGCTTGAAGTAAGTGGTGATGTTAAACCTAGAGAAGAAGAAGGCATGAGAGATGTCTTGATTGCTTGCAGGATTGTCATCTAGGAAGTTTTTTCTGTGGATGACAGGCCTGCAACTAACACCAATACATGGACATTACAAGGAAATTCATTCTGAATAAGACGAGGAACCTAACACCAATGAATGGACATTACAAGGGAAAATGTATCTGCTCAATAGGTTACAAAGATTACAATTGGTCATATTTAGCAATGGGATAATCTGAGTCCCATCCATGAGGCCAGAACACACTAACTCAAATGAGTGCCCTCAGAAAAGGCAAACATAAAGTAAGGTCCGAGAGAAAAGACCATAATATCCAAAATAGTTCATGATTGCATAGCCAAATGGAAAGAAAATCTTGTCTAGAAGTACTAAGGTAGACTTTTTTGTCAGAGGGAGAAATTTGTTAGTAGTATCCCAGGTTGTAACTCTGAATGCATTTTCCTGAAGTCACTTGGTTTTATGTAGTAGATCTATAGAACTTTTGCTAATACAAATAATTAAATAGAATTCTGTTGAATGATTGGGGAACCCAGTGTCCATTTATCCATTAATTCAGTAAATATTTACTTATCGAGCACTTGCCATGCCCCAAGTACTGTTCCAGGCTCTAGGGGTAAAACAGTGAATGAAAACAAAAAGTCTACCTTTACAGGAGCTTATATTCTAGTGACTGCCTAAATGTTACAATTAAATATATAAAGAATATGGACTCTAGCCAAAAATGATTTTCCCTTTTACATGTATTGATGTCTGTCAGATTTACCTTAATTCACTTCCAAAAAAAGAATTATCTTTATAAAAATATATTTTAATAATCATAACCATCAATTATTTATATCATCTTTGTATAATTGGTGTAAATTTCAAAAATTGAATGAAAAGATTTTCTTTTTCTGGAAATCTTCCTACTTTTCTCATAAAATAAAAGATATGGCTCCTGCTTCATGTATTACAATATGTGGAACTTTTCTTATGCAGGAACTTGAATCTATAGTTACTATGTAATTCTGTCCAAAATCATTTCTTGGCTTACTTAACTATTATTTGTGCTTTTTGGTGCCCTCTTGGTTATGAATATAAAAGAATTCGGTAAAATATATAGTTTTCAAAATTTAATGTCACATTGAAAAAACAGATGGTACAGTAATGTCATGAAGTCATTTTAAATATTAGAGAAATATTCAAGACAATTAGATTTATAGACCTCTGTCAAGATATGAGAACACTAAGGCAAAGTGACTTTCTAAAGTTCAGAACCTTGGTTTCCTGGCCCTGAGGCCAGGAGTCTCCCTACCATTTCACACTGTTTAATTTTCTCTGCTATTTAAATAGGCTGCAGGCTTCACTGAGATTTATTAAGAAGACTGCAAATGGTCCATGCTGCTGTGCCTGACACGGGTGTCCTTAGGGCACTGCCCCTAACTCTCCTGACCTATCAAATGCAAGGTGTTTGTGTTATTCCAACCAGCTGGCTGAAAGTCCCAGTTATGCTATGTTCAGCTAAATCTTAGCAGGCAGAGGGCTTTCTAGCTTCCAGTATTATAATCTGTATTACTTGAGGACCTTAATCAATAATTAGTTGACTTTCTGTGTTTTGTAAGGTATTAATAACATGTACGCAATAATGGTTTGGGTTTTTGTTTTTGCGAAATGACTGTGCACCAAGCAGTGGGTTTAATTCTTACAACCCTGAGGTGGATAATCCTATTATCCCCATTTTACTAGGGAAGAAATGAAAGGGGGGATATATATGTTGCTTAAAAGTTATATGGCTAGTTAGCATTAGTGTCAGGAGTGGAATCTAGTTTTTAAATGCCTCCTGCCTTAACATTACCTTAATTTGACAGCAAAAGCCACAGACCCAGAGAATTTAGATGATCTGTCCAGGATTACAAGTCTGGTGTGGGTTGGGGGTGAGTCATACTTTATATCCAACTTTGTGTTGTTTTATAATGTAAGTGTTCTTAGAATGACTCCATCTGCCACCCTGAGTTCTTAATCTAACATTTGTCTTACAATGAAAAAGTTTATATACTTGGAGAAGTAGGTAGTGTTTAAAAAGAATAATACAAATAGGCATTTTAAAATTTGTTTTGACAAAATTTCCTTGTAATAGCTGTTTGATTTCTATGGTAATGCTAAATGTTAAGCCAACCATTTTGTACACTTATCAGTAGCAGTGCTTTTTTTCATGTTGTGAAATCTTTGGGGCTCTCTGATGTAGACTTGGTATTTTCATCTGCCTATTAATCTTGTTACGTTGTATTATCCAAGTAAGATTTTTTAAAAGTCCCTGATATTAAATAGTGATTCATTTTTTATCATTAAGGCAGATAAACCAGGCTATTTCTGACAGTGTAGTAGAGTTCATTTTGCTGCTTTTTAAAAATTGTGTTCAACTTAACAATAATTTCACTGGAGGAGAAAAACTCAAATTTCCTCTTTGACAACGTAATGATATCAACTTTTCCTTAATAGAAATTAAACAGATTGGAAATCTTACCAGTGACTTTTCAAGGGTCAGTTATATTTTTAGAAAAATGTCTAAAAGTTTCCAAGGCTTTGTTTTCAAGATAAATCTTCCTGTTCTGAAGCATTCGGTTTTGGGTTTTTGAAGTAGAGTATAAATAAGAGTCCATTTAATGAAATTCAGTGTTGACTCATCCCTTCTTCTCTCTTCTCTCTCCTCCAGCTCTTTCTCTTTGTTGTCTGGAACTTTGAGCTCTACATGATACCACTGGTTTTGTTGTTACTATTGACATGGAACTACTTCTTGATAATATCAGGGAAAGATAACAGGCAACGTGATACAGTAAGTCTCTACTCTCTTACTTGTATGTGTTTTTGTTCTTATTCTAGTCCCTCTGACAAGATCAATATTGAATTTGGCTTTACAAACCAGAAGTTCTGTCTACAAATACTCAAGTTTAGAGGAAAATTTTATCAGATCAAAACTAACGACTCTTTGGTCTTAACACAATAGAAAGTATTCACTTATTTCTAACATTACTCCTCTTGGTAGAAACTAAAACAGGGAACAGCACCAAAGAATGAGCTATGATTTTCAATCATAAATGGGTGCTGCTTCAAATAATTGCTTTATTCTCCTTATTTGTTATATCTTAATGAATCCTGATTTAAGATACAATGTCACAAAATTATTAGTGATCAAACTACGTGAATGTATTTTACTTAAGACAGATAGATTCTTTGTTCTCTGTCATTGGAAGAAATGAAGGCTTCATGATTGTTGGCCTGGAAACGTGTATAAAGTACCTTAGTTCAATGCAGGTTCACTGGACAACAGTAAATATCCTTCTCTGTGTCAGGGGTGTATTGAGATATCAAGCTTAAGGATGAAGAGTTTTCATTTAACCTAGGGAAAGTTATACTAAATCTACCTGTCCTCTTTGGCATTTTTGAAAGCAGAATGTGTGAGACAACCTTCTCTTTCTAGAAGAGTTTTAGACTAAGTAGCAGAAGCTGCCCACACTATAATCACATATGTTCTGCCAAGCTTTGTTCCCCTTGGATTGTCTATCACTATGCCCCTAGCAACCTAACTATGAAAAGCTTTCCCACATGTAAATAAATGAGGGGAGTGTCTTCTCCAAATACAACATTTACAATTTGATAACTCAATAGACTGTTGTTGAGAAGAATTTAAAGGTTGGCAAACACGAGAATCTACTTGGTCCTTAGCAGACTACTACTTTTCTTGCCATTAAGGATCTCTGTTTGATTTATGATCTGTAGATTATAACAGATCATAAATCGATTTTTTGCCAACTACTGTGCCCATAATGATGCAGAATTATTTGATCATCAGCTTAAAAGTAGTGTATAATACTTAATAGTAACCATCATAATGGTTGCATACATACCTTCAATGTAAAAGAACTTCCCTTTTAAATAACACAATTAAAATACACTTCAAATAGCAATGTAAGCAAAATATAAAATTCTTCAAAATAATTTCCTTTAGTATGTGACAAAGTTGCCAACAAGACACCATGTTTACTTCTCTATTATATTTCTGTCTTTCTTACTAGATTATAAATTTGAGGGAAGGGAACTCTGTTCATCTTTGTATTTGTCACTGTCTGTAGTACCTGCTTTGCAAATTAGACATGTTCAAAACCTTCTTTGTAAAGTATATCAAACAAACGTGAGATTGCTAATAGAGATTTTAATGTTTAGTCAGCATCAATAGACAAGAAGTTATTAGTATTATTGGCAAGGATTTTATGGATATATATTTAAATTGCACACTGAGAGACAAGCCCTAAATGCTATAAGCATTGGTGTCATGGTGACTAATAGGTACTTTCATCAATTAATTCAGGATGTTTTCTTTAAGAAAATAGGACTCTTTCAGACAATTGCTTTTTTGTCCCATTTACTTCGTGGAGATTGTCGAGAGAGAAGAATATCTACTTTTCATTCTGTTGCCTTGAGACAAATTTGCAAATAAGATTATTTCCAAATAGGAAAAACTGATAATTTAGTTTTAGCTTCTTAATTCTATGAGGGGGCTTATCTTCAATATTTAGTCACTGGTTTTGGTATTCTTAGTGAAAAATTCTGAAACTGTAGACTTTGCTTGTTATCTTCTCCAGAATATACCTGGCTTGGCTGGAAACATCCACTTTTAGAGGAAAAATAATATATAATGTATCCTTTTGTACTTAAAATTCTCTAAGACATTTTATAGCCTATTGAAAAAATGCATATCATATAATTTTTGCAAAATATAGCTTCAAAATAGTATTTACCAAATCTTTTCTTTTTAGTACATCTCCTCTAACAGGCTCCTCTTTTAGCCATGGACATTTTTCTTCCCCAGCAAAACCCACTGTGAAACATTCTATAGTCTAACTCTCATGGAATGCCAACTACACTCCATAACTCCCAGTAATTGCCTTTTATTTGCCCAAAACACACAGATCCACATATTCTGTTCTTTCTAGGCACCAGAGCAGCAATCACAACGTTTCATTCAGCTTCTTATTCACTGGCTCAGTTAAGACCTTACGTAACTCTTAAATCCAATTTGTCTAATTATGTGTTTGCTGGCATATCCAGCTGTGCATTTGAACCGGTTGCTCCTTTTGAAAAGAAACCTGGATTATACTTTGCTGGTTACAGAATGCATATATATATATATACACACACACACACACATATACACACACACACACACACACACGAATTTAGGGAAAGTGTGTGTAGGGGTTGCCATGCTGTGACGAATTGACTCTCCTGCATAGTGCATAGCACTGGAAGGATGGTATTTTCCTGTAAGTGCATATTGATATCCCAAAGACACTGCAGACTCTTTCAGCATAAGTGAAAACTTCACAGGATCTCTGAGGTGCGTTAATCACACCATTGGCTGATTCCAAACCAGGAAACTTTCTGTTTTAGGAAAGAGAGACAGAGAAAGAGAAAGAATTTTCTGCCACCAAAAATCAAACCAAACCAAAACAAAAATCTATACATTCAGTTGACAAAATTTAATTAGGGTGAAAACTATAAAAGAAAAATCAAAATGACCTTCAGGTCATAGAAAAGAAAGAAAAGGAAACACAATTTCCATGACATAAGAAGTTGAAGAAGAAAATAAAAGAAATAATGTGAAAGATGAAAAATGCATAGATGGGTAAAATTCTGTCTTCAATGTATTGGCTAATATTTGAGATTAATACCAAACAGGAAAATGTTTCTTTGTGTGTTTATTGTTTAAGGAGAGTCTTTCCTTTCTTGGAGACCCTTAAGATTACAGGCACTGAACCCTCATACCTTTTCCCCACCATGGTGCCTATTCTAGTTTAATGAGCAAAAGCAGATGTAATCCTTGCTGAATAAGTTTTGCAGCGTTTAATGAGCTGAACCTGTTAAGGACAGAATAAGTAAACAGCCATTCCTGAGGTTAAAACTGTAGACACAGAGGGTGCCCATGTGAAAGAGGCATGGTTAAAAATATTTCACCTCTGCTATTTCCTAGTTGGACTTGTTAAAAATAAGCAATCTTAGGTCTAAATATACCTAGAGTGGGACTATGATATTAAAATTTCTAGCATGAAAATTGTTAGGCTTTTCCAGAGAAAACCATTTAAGACATGCTTCATTCAGAAATGTCCCTGGCATGAAAGGGATATAAAGATAGGAATGTCATCCTTCTCTTCGTTTGAGCTGTCACTTCAAAACCTGGGAAAAGTTCTCACCAGCATTGCCTATTAGGCTTGTACCAACTATCCAAATTACAGTGACTGTAGACAGACATTTTGAAAGTGGAAGAGTAGATGCCAGGAAATGGCTTTTACTTTGATTTAAAAACTACTGAAACATCATTACACCCTGGGCTCTGTGTGAAGTACTTTATATTCACCATGTCATTTAGTCCTCCTCCAAGAGAGAGAAGCTGATTGTGTTAGCCCAGCCAATGGATTGGATCCTCCTAAGTCAAGTGACCTGCCGCCCCCCACCCAGGTCCCTTCGTCAGTTGTAAGCAAAGGAACATGCTCATGTAGACAAGCATGGCTGCAAGAGCTCTTCCTTGAGAAAAGAGAATCAAGTCACGGAGAATAAAGGAAATAGGTTAGCCAAGCAAACCAGGGGTCTATTGCACACCCTGTAAGTGTCATTTCTACTGCACATACAGGGAAACAGGGCCAGAAAGATTAAATAACTTATCGAAAAACACACAGAAAGTGTCAGAACCAGTATTAGAACACAGAGCAGTCTGCCTGAAGTTTATACTCCGAACCACCAGTCAATCACATTTCCTGCTGGGGATATATCCCACCTCTCCCTGGGCACTGTTACAGCAAGTTTCTCCCACGAATTACTGAAAAGCCAGTAGCACTAACTACACCTTTAAGCCGACATATTAATAGAAAGTAGTAATTTTCCCACACCCCTCATCTCATGTCTTCCGTATCTCTCATTGAGGGAAACAGAAAGGATATTTATCAAGCAATTTCTATGTATCAGGCATCCTGCTAAGCCTTTTAGAGACATCACCTCCTTTTTTCCTTTACAATAATTATATCAAATAAATAATTCTAAATAGTTTTATCCCCATTTTACAAATCAGAAAATTCAGTATCAAGGATGATAAGTAAGCAACTCCCCAGAGCAAGTGTGATGTGAACCCAATTGTGCCCTGTTGTAAAGTCCCAGGCTGTATCTATGGTACATGCATGGGCATTCCTTTCCCAAAGGACTGCTTTCTTAGTGTCCAGGGCCTTGCATAGAATCCCTGTTGTCTCCAGATTCCTTCCTATGAGGTACCCAGTAACCTCACATGAATTAGTGCTAGTCATCTATTCTATCCCACATGCCACCATTAATTTCCAAAGCATTCATGACCAGGAGGGCTACCTTCCATTCACCAAGGTGACCATGGGAGGAGTCCATCAAAGCTGACTTCTTCATATTTGTGAATAAATTTTTTTGTGTCAAAGCAATTTTTGAATGTCTTTGACACAAAAAAATTCTTCAAGCTGTGTTTTTTAATTACACTTTAAAAGAACATTCATTTTTACTGTCATGATATTCCTCCCACACAACAATCTCAGTTATCTAATCAATGGTGGCATTAAAAGACTGAAGAGTGGGGCAGATCAATGAAATCATTCTCTGACTCATGATATGACTGTGACACAAATTGAGACAGAGTCTGCCTTGCTAAAATACTTTAGGAAATACTGAAATGTTTAGTTAGCTCCTTCTCGTGACAAAGCATTTGTTTCTTCATTTCCCTTTTAGAATAGTACTGAATATTGCCTCCCATTAGGTCTGTTCCAA